TGTTTATGCGCACATACGACTGCTCCATACCATCTACCTGCTAAACATTTCAATAAAGATATATGCAACAGACTTGGTTTCTTTCAGCACTTAAATGTAGTCTATCTCTGTTCCTCAAAATTATAAGCACAAAGAGGAGGTCTGTGATCAATTGATTGCGATTATACCCACCACATGTAGCGTTTTTATCCTGAAGATCGATAGAATGGTATAGAGATAATGTATAGGTACATGTGCGCCATATAGTAAGAAAAGTTGTAGTATAATTCACCGATTGTTGTCAAATCTACGTATACCCGCGGTTGATGACAATTTCTTTAACAACTTCAGATAGTGGCAATAGCGAAAAAACGCTTTCGGTTCGTATTGTCTACCTGATGGGGCTTGTGATATGCATTGTTTGTTTAAACGAAAATTGAATCAGAACTATAGGTTAGTGCAACCTTTTGGTACGCCTTCCAAAACTTCTCAGTTGAGATTAAACCCTATGAGTTGTTGTGAAGGTTATTATGCTGCTTCGTACCACCCAACTGTTTTTTATTTATAGAGGGATTATCTTCGAGCGGAACGGATCCGAGCTAGCAAGTTCGGCATGCACAAAATTTAATCGAGGTAGTTAAAGACACTGAGAATGACAACATGGACGTGGAAAATGGAGAAGGAATGCCGATAGATCACTGAATTGTATACAGTATGATACGTCGACGTTCGCATTCTGCTAGCGACATGGCCCTTTAACATTTCTCTTCACAAATCGGCTGCTCACGTTGTGGTTATACCATCAATGTGAATACACAGGTGGACGCTTGTACTTCAAGTTTTGACCAACTTGATACGGATGATGACGGTAGCGACACGTTCGATAATTATCGAGGATATGCTTTCAATGAGAGCGGTAACACACATGAAGATATGAACGTTCATTGTGTACACTGGCAATGGTCAATTACACAGGCATTTTCTCGCGCAGAATCTTAGGATCTCCTCTTACTAGTAAAAGTCGCAGATTATACTACCAGCACCACATGGTATGCTTATGATAACGCCACAACGGTCCAGTCCCTTCCTGAAGCGGCTTGGTACAAAAACTTCTGCGTTATCAGCTCTATGTAAATCCAATCTGCACATCAGATAGCATGTCGAAGATATCACCTTTAGCGATTTAGCAAAAAGGAAAGGTGAGGACGATTTGTGGCGATGAAGGTACGACGCTACCACGTAGTAACAATATGACTATAATTCGCGGTGTGAGCATTCTGGTCAAAAAAACGACAAGCGAAACGCATCCGGAAGGCCTAATAAACATAATTGTCAATGTTGCTCATTCCATAATCATCCTATCACCGATTTTACTTTATTCACACCGGTAGAAGGTAAATTGTAATACTTGTACGCGCATGTGCGTGTATTGAATTTGCAATTAGTTGCGATCATTTATAAAAAAAGCATGCTCCATAAAAATACAAGAATGCATGAATATAAGCGTAAGAGCTTTGCAATTGGCCTGGTTGACATAATCTTGATGGGGAGTCACGCCTCTCTAGGTCGCAGTTCGAATACAGTTCGAAAAGCAGGAAGATGATCATACTCCGTCGGATCTCACGCTTTCGGTATTCACTCGCCGTAACCAAGGGATCCTTTGCAAAGCTCAGCAAGTGTAATGATCTTAAGTTGACAATTAGCGATATGATGAATGCGCTGCAGTATCAAGTGACGCGACTTGACCGGATATAACAAGTGCACTACGCAATTTAGGTCAGCACACAGAAGCAAATACGACAAATGATTACTTGCGGAAGAATATCGTGCTATGCCATTTCAAAGGTACCTCCGCATAAGAAAATCGGTACAAGTATTTAGAAATACGTTTTGAGAGAAATATTTCGTGTGAAGGCATTCATTGACGCTAACCATGGATCAATAAGTGCAAATACCGCGAGTTAATCGGTTCTATCGCCTCAGATTTAAAGTGAGATAATGATGGCAAAAAGAAATACTGAAGATATACATCTGCAGCTGAGTACGTGGCGATAAGATTTTGCGCAAAATAATGCTATACACATATTTAAATGGTCAGAAGTGATTGATGTCGACTTGCATATGTCATCTGAGACCTCCCTTTATGTATTTCTTGTTAAACGTTTTGTTGTGTCCTTTTTCGTCGAGCTTTTCATTTGTTACTTAATCTTGCATGGTTTTTAATCTATATATGCAAGAAATGAACTGCACCACATTCTTCGCGGATGATATATGTAATGACAAGAAAAATGTACATAATTGGCAATAAGTAATATGTACTAAAGACCAGGATATACTTACCCGAGAGCGAAATTTATATATAGAAAGATGTAGCTGTTTGCATTCATACAAACACCTACTGAGCAGTTTGAGAGAGAGCTTATCCGACAGCTGCCAAGTATCGGATCTGCCGTCAAGTACTACTAATCATTTTCTAATAAACCATAAAATTTGATGTCACGCAACATATTTTTCGCAGGATGCGTAATATCTTACCATTATGTTAAGTATGTCGTATTCAAATGAGTTCGAACTGTGATAAAGGATACCGAGATTACTGCTATACATACCTACAGCTCATGTACTTTCGTGCACCAATCTGCAAATGTTTCATGAGATCCTCACGATTCAAACCGATTATCGATAAGACTAACTACTCATCAATTCTATGCGAATGCCAGAAGCGAAAGCCTTCGCCATTCGCATCCCGTATAGTTCTATGTGCAGGTTCCTATACATCTTCGACATGCTCATCCTTCGTTAACATGTCGTGAGAAAGCACATCCATCTCTAAGTAGAAGTATGAGATGCTTTCGGATTCACAGCTGGTCGCTGTGGATGATTTTTAGTTTTTTATGTTCCGGTCGCACGAAAGACGCTTGTTGCATGAGCATACATTATGCGATTTTTCTCAAGATTATAAAAACAAGCAAAAGCTCGAATTTACTACCCCGCAGACGCAACACCAAGTGTGCTGTCGAATTCGTATTCAGAGTCGACAGTAAAAGACAGTACAAATTAGTCAGCAACGATACATTATTTAAGAATGCAGACAATCGGGTCCACAAGACCGTTCATATGGTTTTGATGACAAGTGTGCATCTGTGTGTGAAAGTTAGAATTTATACAGACCTTTTTTGTATGCCGAACGCCTCTTTTCTCCTGTTGCCAAATTCAATAAGGTCGACGTCCGGCGTGCAGGTAGTCTTGGCACAGAAAGTCTTAGCAAACATTTGCATGAGCCTTTTGAACAGCACAACATATTTATAATAGCTCTATTCAACTTATATGATTATCTCGCTTGTCCGTACGTCATGTCATGCCGCCTCGGTACGTACCTGATGCATATAATGCAGCACTTTTGACGCGCCATTTATATACGGCGCTGTCTGATCTATTCCTTCACAATGATACTTCCAGGTATACATCCGTGTATTACTTCATTATAAAAGGAGTCGGTCGAAGATGTGATACTGCAAAGTGAACATACTTAGGTTCTTAGTTCACAGACTTCTTCTTGCCACTCTAAGCCTATTGTAATCTTTGACCGCACATCCGCAACATCGCGTAGTCACGCGTTAGGACCGCCCCGATATGCACCACTGATCGTGTAGTCATGAATTTGTAATCGTCACGTCGCGCATTGCTAATCGTCTACACGCACATTACTACCAGGCCGAGGCACTTCTTCAACGACAAATCCTATGATATAAAGTTGAGTGTAACATTCGAAGTAACATATTACTTGTGCACTGTAAGCTACGCTTAAGCGTCAACGCATATCATCTTTTTTTGCAATGTGAGTGGTAACGGAAAGATATAAAAAGCGGCTTGAGGTAATCAAATAAAAAGAGAGTGAAGAAATACGACCATGTATATGAAAGACGTAAGGTAGTGTATGTTCGCTCGTATAGTACATATCGCTAGTACACTATGCCATTGGCCACAATGCTGTAGCCCTCACGATGGTACCACTGCATGATGTACAATGAAGGATAATCGTAAGTGGGAATCGCATCTGCATGGGTCTCCAGAATCGCTCACTCAGATCGAGGCGGAGAAGTCGAAATCGTTTGGTATCGACATTATTTGCTTTCGAATGCTATATGATGATCGGATAGTCAAGACTTGGCACAGATCGTAGCTTTAGTTGACTCAATTTCAGCCGACTTATACCGTCAAGTGCGCCATCAATGTGCGCGTCAAAACATGCGTTTCTTACTGATAGAGCCTACGAGTGCTCGAGCGACGAAGCCATGATCACATCACGTGATCATGAAGGATGTGCGTTCATAGTGCGATATGGGGTGACCAGTGACGTTGCAAAGTGCTCCGTCCCGCTTCACATCGAGCAGTTGACGAGTCTTTTCCAGAAAAGGCGTGTCAAGCAAGGCACGACAGCGCAACGGCTCATCGCACCAAACATGCAGCTCTCTATTATCTGTGCCACAACAAGACACTCATAGTCCATCGATAACCCATATGAGTGACGGCTTAGTTCCTCTCCTCCCACCCATCTTCACGACTCGTCAACGATCCACCCACCCACATACACACTCCAACCGTAATCTACCGTCCTCGCCTTCACTCTACGTAATACTTATTCACAGAGGTTATCAACAGACGCAGCAGCTGCCCGCCACCACGTTCCTCGTCGTCCGCCACGAAACCCACCTCCTCGAACCTCCCAAACTCGATTCAGGCGCTGCGTTTTGCTGCCCGACCCGAACCGACTTGACCCGACCCGACCCGTCTCTCCATTCGACTGGTCTTCCGCCGTCGACCCCATTCCGTCTCCGACTGTGTATCGTACGTACCCGACAGGTACAGCCCCAGCACTTGCACTAGTACTAGTGCCCGCCGCGTCGAGAACAGAGTCCCCCGTACGACAGGCACCTTATCGTTCCCTCTTCTTCTTCTCTCTCTCTCTCTCTCTCTCTCTCTCTCTCTCTCTCTCTCTCTCTCTCCCTCTCGATCGCCTCATGTCCGGCACGCGCATCTACGTGGGCAACTTGCCCATGGACGTCCGCACGCGCGAAGTCGAAGACATTTTCTACAAGTACGGCCGCATCCGCGACATTGACGTCAAGTTCCCCTCGCGGCCGCCCGCGTTTGCGTTTGTCGACTTTGAAGACGCGCGCGACGCCGACGACGCGATCCGCGGGCGCGATGGCTACGACTACGACGGGGCGCGTCTGCGGGTCGAACTCGCGAACGGCGGGCGGCGCGACGCGGGATGCGACCTGTCGGCCCGTGGGTCGGCGACCCGCTACCCGCGCAACATTCGCGGGTCGGGCGACTTCACCGTCACGGTCTCGAACCTCCCGCCGCGCGTGTCGTGGCAGGACCTCAAGGACTTTATGCGCAAAGCGGGGGACGTGGTGTTCACGGAAGTAGACGGCCACGGCGGCGGCGTCGTCGAGTTCAGCAACAAGCGCGACCTCAAGTACGCCGTGGAGAAACTGGACGACACGGAGTTTCGCGGCCGCAGCGAGAACGCGTTCGTGCGGGTGCGCGCCAAAGGCAGTCGCGGAGGCCGCAGCCAGAGCCGCAGTCGCAGTCGCTCGCGGAGTCGCAGTCGGTCCGCGCGCCGCTCGAGCAAGAAGCGCAGTCGCAGCCGCAGCAGCGAAGACAGGAGCCGAGAAGCCGATGGCCGATCGAAGAAGAGCCGACGCAGTCGCTCGATCGACGACGACGACGAGGAGCGCAGGGCGGACGAGAGGAGCGACAGTGGGGACCGTGAGGACAAGCAGGACAAGCAGGACAAGGACGGTAAGGAAGCCGAGCTTAGTGCCGAAACTGCTGGTACGTGTGACAAGCAGGAGACGACGACGGACGATGCGTCGAAGACAAAGGACGGCGGCGTTGACGACGACGACGACGAGATGCGAAGCGAAAAGGACGACAGTGCGGCTGAATCAGCGGCACAGGAGGAACGGAAGGCGGACGAGTAGAGCAGCGCGACGGACGCGGATGGGAGGGACGGAAGCGGATGCAGGATGTGAGCGATACCGTGACAGGAGGGCCGACGCGTGCCCAGAGGCTGCAGGCGTGCCTGGACGTGTCTTGTGTGCGTGCGTGGCTCTGGTGGCTGCTGCAGCTGCTGTGGGTGGTCCCTTTATCCGGTGCCTTTGTGTACGCCCCATTCCCTCTGTTGTTGTTTGTTCACTGCTCGAGACCATTTGCGTTGTGATTTGATTTTTCTTCATTTTGGTTCGAGTGGCTGGCGACGCGGCTTTGGACTGGAGCGTGGGCGACGTCGTTGGAAGCGGCGGCGTTGGTGGCGGCGTCTGAGGCTCGTCTGGACTGGCGGGGACGACACTAGTGCGAAGGACGACAGCGGCGTCGGTTGTGGACAGTGTGCTGACGAGGGGGACGCAAGTGCTGGCGCTGCTCGACTGGAGTGGCGAGTTGTCGTAGTGCTGCTAGAACTTGATGCTCCCGTAGCTGGTTGAGCGGTAGAAGAATCAAATTATTGCTTTGCGTGCACATGCAATCGCTGCTTTATTGTCGTAGCGTCTTTGTTGGTCTCGTCCACGAACAACGAGGCACTGAAGTAGATACTTCGAGCACGTTATCCACTCGAGACCGTCGCTCTGGTCAAAGAAAGCAGAATCCCACAGGCGACATCAGGCTTCTCGTTCTTGACAGTCACACGTGCACTCATCAACCAGCTCTTACTATTCCTTGGCAACCAATTGACACCATACTGTCAGCCAAGTCTGAGGTAGCACAAGCGCGTTCTTCAGGGTGTTGAGTTCGTCTCCAGCCGAATGATCTGCTGAGGTACACCCTCCTCCATCAGGGATTTCACACACACCTCTAATCCTTCACCGCTATACGAGACCAGTGGCGAGATCTCAATGTATCCAGATTTGTCCAACACCTCGTGCGCAAACTTGTCAGCCTCGCGGGCAGTCAGAGTCGCGGTAGCCGCTGCGAGTAGCCACGCTTTCCCTCCATCGTGCATCAGTTGACGAGCACTGTCAGGCGAGTCAATAGGGTCTCCAGGAGGGTTTTTGACCGGCGCAAACTCAGTCTCGCGAGGCACAGAAAGCACCGCCATGCGCGACGATAGCGGGAAGACGTCGAAAATGAAAGCCTCCAGTTTGATGCCCGAGTTGCTCGTAGGAGCATACGTTGCTCCGGTATCGTCAGCCATAGGCACCTTTTTGTGAGCCACGTGGTACTGGAGACTCGATGCTGGGAGCACCACGCGCACCAAGAAATCACTACACATACATCATGGCGTTAGGCGTTGTTAAGACCATTCTTCGTTGGAAACAAAAGAAAGACGTACATCGTGTAGAAGTGATTGCAAATGTTGGCTGCTCCGAACACCAACTTGCCTGTGCGAGGATCCACACGCTCGGCCATGTCACGGTCAATCTCCGAGTACTCGATGACGCAGAAACGGTCATTTCGTTTTGCCAAGACACCGACGCAGTCATCGGGTCGCGTCTTCCAGACCACCTTGTTACCACAATCAGCTTGCTTGTCGATGCAGTACCCGATAAAAGTCGGATCGGCCGCCTTGCACAATGCATTGTCCACAGAGAAGACGTGCAAGTACTTCACACCACGCGTTTGCAGTTCAGCAAGCGCTCCACTAGACTGAAGAGCTTTGTAGACGCCACCATTACCGTCCGACGCTGTCGCCAGCTTACACGCACTCTCCAGAATCAGTTTTCCATCGATCGTAAAGCACGGCAGAGTGCCTTGTGAAAAGAAAAACATCTGCGACTCGTTCAGTCCAAAGAAGTCATGCTTTCGAAAGTACGCGACAGTCGTGTCGTGATTCATCTTGCTGGTCATCACGAAGAATGGAAGTCGAATCTCACTTCGGAGACGTGTCGGGAACTGCTTTGCTGCTAGAAGCTCCAGAGCCAACAGCCTCTCAGCAAACAGCTGGAAAAGACACTTCCCCGACGGTAGTCCAATGTCGTACATGCCTTTGGGACCCGCAAAGCCAAGTCGCGTGCCTTGACCGCCACTCAACACCAAAGCACACACTTGTCCTCGACTGATTGCTTCCATGCCGAGGTGTACCCATCGCTGTTTGTCCTCACCCGAACATTGTTCCAGCAGATCGTAGTCCACCAGAGGCTCAATATTTCCCTTTTCAACCACCTTTACTTGCGTCGACGCTTGGAACATGCGCTGCAGGCGCTCCAGATCGAGTTCTTCGAGCTTCACTCATTTCAGCACAACAGCACATCATATTCAGTTGACGTTACACGTGTTACTTGTATGCTCACTACAACACACCTCTTCCGACAGTCTCTGCGCCTCGAGAGCCGAAAGGTCACCCGCGTCATCGAACTACACAATCGGTTTATCGCCTCACTTAGTAATCGCTTCCGAAGTCACAATGAGGTACACTGAAATGAAGTGGCAATACTAAGTCGTGCCTTGAGCACGTGGCCTTGGCCAGCTGCGCGCAGTTTGCGTGCCAACTCTGCTGAGACGTGCGGCATGACGACGTGCGTGTCAAGTCAGTTGTGCGGTTCGAAAGGAGATATTTGTCGTTGTGCTTCAGATGGGCTCTTTCGCTTGATCGTGAACGTGTCGCTGGTAGTTGATATGCGGTCGAACCTGCCTGAGCTCATGCTGCTGCAACGACGAACCTCTCGAACTGGATAGATATTCGATCCCGATCTCGCACAATGGCAATCCTGTAAAAGCTGAATAATGGGCTGATCGAAGGATGGCCATTCTAACTTTAGTGTGACGATGAACCTCTTCCTATTTCCTGCTGAGACCAACGTACAAACAGCTTTGATTATCCCTTTTTGTGCAATCTGGTAAGCTCAACTAGCCTTGATCGTACCCCTCACCTGCTGCGATGTTATCACCGTCGCTCAGTATGCGCCTACTATTGCCAGTTTCTGAGCTGACTCATTATTTGCTGTGCTTTAGCAGCCAAACGGAAAGAGATGCTTTGCCGTCATCTTCATCAACATTTACAATGTAGACCCTAATGAGCAGAGCTCTCAAATGACCTTGTCCAGACCTCAAACGGGTACGCGATCACCGCTCATCCGAATGAATGAGTTGTTTTGGTAATCATGATGTTCTGGTGACGAAACTGCCGGATCTCTGACGCCAAGTCATTCATGACCTCCTGGTCTGAAGGGTCACTTCAAGCCAAGTAAACTCTACCCCATCTGCCTGTTCCTGAGCAACAATTTCATGCGTTCGTTGGAGTATTCGATCACTTCACAAACAACGGATCTTTTGTGCTGCCGCGAAGAAGGTGATGCGATCACAGCGCTTGTGCTCGCATCGTTCTGTCGATTCCTCCACCGCTGCCCGTTGATGTCAATCTTTTAATCTGCCCAGAGCCCTTGTTTGAAAACTGGGCGCACAGTTGCATGCAACGTTGCGTACACTTGATCAAGAAGATACAACTACGATGACCACATCATGCGACATTCCGTTCAGGCTGCACTGTGTCGAATGACTCGTGGCAATTAGAATAAAAACGACGGCCTTGGTAAGGAAAGACAGCCGATGAGATGTTTACACGCTAGCATTAACTAATGATAGTTGTGTCTTATGCCGCATAGATGTACGGATCAGAGAAGAAGAGCGGATGCATGTGCGTGCGTGAGTGGGTGCCCCTAAACAATTGACGATATCGTCTCGTTTGAAGCCCCGATGCAGCTTCGGAGTTTGTTCTGATAATCTTGTTGAGTCTTGCTTACACTCGAGCTCTCTTTCCACGATGCTAAGCAGTCAAGAGTACGACATGTTCAAAAAGCCGCCTTGTCGTCTCAACGCGCTGCTGAATTATGGCTAACGCGTTACTGCGAAGTGGTTAGATATCATGAGCGTAAGTTGCAATGTCAATATCGTGCCTGATCTTTGCACGCAATGTCTGCCTCCCTTCTAGTTAGTGTCTGAGAGTTGCAGAAACTGTTTGACAAAGCTCATGAATCTATGTTCCGAATCAAGCAATCTGCTGCAATCTGCAACAAATGTATCCAACGAGCCCAGCCGCATTTGAAATGCCATCACATGGCTACAATGAGTGCATGTATGCGTGACATGAGCTTACCCTTGAATCAGCTTCTTCAGGCGGAGCTTCGTAATCTTGCTCTGCTCTGCTGCAGCCACGGCAAGCTCTTCTTCAACACCGTTTTCCATGCGATATTCCAGAATGCGGAGCATCTCGGGAGCGGTCTTCCCCGTCGCACAGACAATGTAGATGTACCTGCGGCAACACCCACACCAATTTACAGTATCTACAGAAGACCCGGCGCAACCTAAACACGTACCCGAACTTATTGTAGTACGCATCATTCAATTCCTCGAAGCGATCGAGCAAGTCTTCATCCGCATCCTTCGTTGCCTTCACCACGCAACCAATCACATCCGTCAGCATCATTGACCGTTACCACAGTGGTGGTAAGAGTGTGGATAATGGCGCAGCAGATGCACGTCCACAACCTTTTGTTCCTGAGCTTCCCACACTCGAATTGGCTGTTTTGCGCGCCCGATCTGGTTTCGCAATACAAAATCGAAGTGTCAGCCTCACTACCACGTAAAACTCCTCAGGCCCCAGCAACTACGCTCAATTATCAGTACAACGAGCCTTTGGATGTGCTGCGAACGCTTCGAGCCAATCGTCTCGTGTCAAGGCGGCGTCTGCTGCATCGGCTGCCTGGTACAGTTCCTCGATATCTCGGACAGGGAATTTGGTTACCATTTCTGTCACCCATCGCCTCGAGCTGCAGCACTGCAACAGCTTCTGACCAAACTGTGAAGATCGATTCTCGGCTTTGGAGGCAGCAGCAGCGTCGTTCAGGATAGAGAGGTCCATGGCGTCGCTTGGCAGGGGACGATCGTTTGGGATCCGATCGCTAAACGTATCTTGTTTGACAGGGGAATGCGAATGTATCAGCATGTCTCTATTTGCCGTAGTTTAAGAAAGTTGGGCGCAAATGAGCATTCGGTCATTCACCCCAATACGAAATAATTGGATGCGAGATGAAAAGCTTCTGGTTAGTTGATGTCATATCCATCATCATCGGTACCACCTGTCAAGCGTTTGCCGCGAGCAGCACCTTTTCGTCAAGTGCTAGAAAAGTTTGTTTCAAGGTGTCGTAGATTGCTATAGCAGCTTCAAGCAGGTCCGAGTAAATGTATCATTGCGTAGTGGATTTAGTTTGAGCACGGGGTGATGACGTCCAAAATAGCTGTGTGTACATAACCTAGGATGACTGTGCTCGTTGCTACTTCTACACTGATATGTTTAATAACAAGTGCAACAGACTCAGAATCGATTGCGGGGTACAAATACGGCTTTACACCATCTATGTCGGTAAAGAACTGACACGCTGAGAAAATGTGCGTGCTACAAATATCTGTAGATGCTGACCGTTGCAATGGGCGATCCCATTGGAGCGAACTATCAAACTTGATACAAACATATGCATTCAAGATTCGATGTGTACCCTCTCCCATCAGGGGAGCGTCACTTGTATTGCCGAGAAGTGAGGTATATCATGGCACCGACGCTCAACATTAGTATCGTGTCATCGAGAACAGCAACCGTTTAAGCAAGCAACAGATAAAATATACAGATAAAGTTACAAAGCGTTTGCTTCTTCATCACCACAATTGGAAAAGCTACGAGTGAAGAATCCGGTACCGTTCGTTAGCCATAGGCCACAAAAGAGAAGATTAAATTGAAAATTTAGCTATCAGATAGACAAAACCAGCGTGAAATATACACAATGCTCGAACCAATCCGAACGCGTGTAAGATTCACTGCAGAAGCGAAATAGCGATAAGTAACTCTCTTGTTCATGTCGTGCTGTTCGGAACCAACTAGTCATGATGCTATTAGCATGTTACCCCTCGACGGACTAGACCCGTCTGCCTGGATTAATTTACGATCACGGTGCTCTCGGCGACCTCGTCGTTTTGACGCATTTTAACGATTCATTTTTGTCCGCTTTGCAACAGACTATAACGCTTTCATCACAAAGTGCATGTAATATCGCGAAACACTTCTGTCTGAGTGCCACGGTGAAGCGCTAGTTAAACAGGCGCACTGTGATGCACACAGCATCTTGACGGAAAGTTTGTACGTACCTTGTCAAGGAACAAAATTGGTGCGCAAGATAGAGTATTTCCTTTTATCGATTTCGATTTCGCGAGCCGCAAGACGATATGACTTCGTCCACACATGCAAATGCATTGGCTTCGACACGACACCGTATTCTTAGTGATTGCCCACGAAATATTGTCGTGCGACCAGTCGTGTTGCTTAGGCGGCATCTATGTTGTAGGATTTTGTGTAAGCCACCGTTAAACAAATAGTAAGCCTTAGCTGCGCGTTCTTACTTCACTACTGCAATTGAACTAGCTACGTCTCCGTCTCGGCAAGACACTGATGGACAGCCATTGCTTATTAAGTTCTCGAAGAGCTTACGAGCACGGAACTTACAAAAATGTTGTCAGTTGCAACTAAGTACAAGCTACGAAGGATCTACCTTCCCTTCTTATGTACCGATAGAGCGCTCAAGCAAACTACAGTAACATTTTAAGTCGATCATGTAAGCGCGTGGCAGAAGACCTGCATGGCCAGGTAAGACATCAAGTTCAGTCACCGAGAGAACTCGGTGCGGCATTCAAACGAGGCGCAGCTTCTCGAATGAACGCAGCTTTCAGCTGCTTGGGACGGTGTTATGAGTTGCGAAGGGCCAGACGCGTCGACTCGTACCAAATGTAGCCTAACTGTACACAGAATGTAGCAAAGTAGTCGTGCGACTGAACAAACGTAATCCATAGGCGTTAATGACCTCTACTCTGTTTTAGTTCGCCCAGCTTTCACGATCATTTTGCGGGGCCAATTTGTGCCATGGTCGATTCACCCGCGAGCGAGAGCTGATGGTGTACATCAAAGACTTTGTGACACATCATCGAGTCGTGCAGTACACAGATTCTCTTGACGGTGGTAGCAAAACAGATTCAGCGGCTCCAATTGATAGCAAAACATGCCGACAAGGTGCCGTCTTATATCACGACACGTTCGTCAACCAAAGTTCCTTCTTGGCACCGCAAGCACCAATGTAAAACACACAAAGCACTCCTACATTGTATGCTGCCACGGGACCCATGGCAATGCAGCGAGTTTACATGAACGCCAGAGGCTCGTACACACGAGACTTCGTCGGCACATCGTTCGTGTTCGTCAAGTCGAGCTCAACGTTCACGCAAAACAGCGGGCTGCTGTTGTCGTCATCACTGGTCAGCTGGATCTCGTAGTTGCCGGCTGGCGCAATTATCGGCAGGTTTACGTCCACCTTCAGATCAGTGGATTTGCCCTTCGCTACAGGGCATGCAAAGCCATGCACGTCGATGTGGCCCAGGCCGAGAGGAAGCGGGATGTGCGTGTCCCCGCACAGATCGCCAGCGTGGGCAAACACCTGCATGCCAGCTAGCTTGACGCCCAGCTCGAAGTTTGCCGACCCAAAGTCTTGCTTCGCGTCGCCATTGCCGGAGATCGCAACGGGCTGACCGCGCTGAGGCGACGTGGGAGTCACTTCCAAGTGGTCAAATTTGATTGCCGCGCTGCCAACGTCGCCACACTGCGTGATACGGGCCGACGAGAACAAGTCCGCGAGGTTCGCGAGACGAAAGTCAGGTACCTCCACAGCTGGGAACGAGTCCACAACGTCGTCGGCACGTCCAGGCAATGGCATCTCCTCCACCTTGTCAGTATCTTGGGTCGCTGTGTCGGAAATGAGCGTCGCAAACGGGTAGCTGGGCACAGATGCAACGCCGCACTGTCCTGCGGGTCCGCTCTCCTCCCGTGAAAGACGGATAAACCCTTGCTCTCCCCACGTCGACCCCCACGAGTTCTTGACCTTCCAAAACTTTTGTCCGTCCTCGCTCCCGTACCCCACGACGAGCACGCCGTGGTCCAACTGCGTGCCGCACGTCAAGTTGAACACGCCCCTCTTGTAAAACTGAAACGCTTTTTGATCGGCTTCGATCGCCACCGACACGGGCTGCTGCGCCACCGCCACCTTCAGCGCGTGTTCGTCTTGCGGGTTCACGTCCTGGAACCCCGTCACCTTGACCACGTTCTTCTCGCACTTGCGACACACTTGGGCCCTCGCCTCGTACTCATAGTCCTCCTCGCTGCACAGCCCGCCATTCTCCTCAATCCACGCAAACGCGTGGTCCATCAGCCCGCCATTGCAGCCCATGTCGCCATTGTGGTCGCAGTCCACGAGCTCCTGCTCCGACACACTCGGCAGCTTCCCACTAGCGACAAACGCAGCGCCTTCGACCGCGCCCGTAGTAGAAAACGCCCAGCATGAGCCGCACATGCCCTGGTTCTTGACCGGTGTCACGCCACCCTTCTCCTGCCAGTCCCACGCGTCCGGCGTCTCCACGTCCGCGTACAGACCGTCCACCCGCGCGGCCAGTCGCTGCTCCACGTACCCGTCCGGCACCGCGAGGCCCGTCATCTGGCGCTTAAACTCGTCAAACGACAAGTGCGAGAACGCATTGTGGCCGAGCGTCACGCCGGTCCACGCGTTCTCCACGTTGTGCTCGACAATGTACATGTCGTTGGCAATGTAGTGCTCGAGCCGCGTGGCAAACTCGAGCGCGCTCGAGAACGCCATCGAGTGCGTCTCCATCCAGGCCGCAAACTCGCGCTCGTACTCGGCGAGCGACTTGAGCGCGTCGGCGAGCGCGAAGCTGCTGGCGAAGAGAACAGAGAGCACGCGCATGTTGCGCGTCGACGAGTGCTGAGGCGCTGTGTGCAACTTGAGGCGGAAAGAATAGTGAGGGAAGGGCAACGAGCTTGAAGCTCGCGCTCTATGTTGACGTTTGTATGGAAGAGATCCAACGAAGGCGGGGGACCATCATTCGCGTTTTCTCTGGAGATTTGGCCAATCGGACGCGAGAAGCGAGCCGCGCATATTTGACCAGTCGATGCTCGAGGGGGAGCACGGTCTCGACCAATCAGAGTCGAGAAATGCCACGCGCGAGCGAAAGACGCAAGCGCGCACCGTCAATGCGCGTGCGGGGGCAGGAGGGACTTTGTAGGTGGCCACGCAGTGCAGCGGCGTCGACCAGAGCTCTTCAGTTGTATGTCGTACAACTTGCAAAGGGTTGGGACTCCACCACATGCCTTGTAAATCCATTGGGTGTACTACATCTCCGATGACGTTGTTCTCTAGAGCACATCCCATCGACTAGAGATGTGGGGCGGGTTTGGACATGCACATGTGAGTGTTTTGTACCGACAAACTGCACCTGTCGGTTAACAAGTGATCTCAGTCATGAGAGATACGACCAGTCGGATCGAGTGAGTGCCACGTAGTCGCCTCGTGGAGCTGCGGGTGGTCACTGAGTTGACCGTAGTCGAGCAAGCGCTGCTGACAGATGCGGCGGAAGTGGTGATGGTAGGCCTGACCGACATGGCAGCCCAAGTGGGGAAGAATCCCCCGCCCCGGTCCAAGCTCAGACTGCTGTTGCTTACGATTCGGTCGTGCATTGCTACTAGTCGGAAACATGCTGACAATTAAATATGCTGCATTTATCGCCAATGGTACTGTGCAAAGCATTGCTTCGGACAATGCCGTCCTAGGCAATGCCGTTTACAATACCAGTGGCTCTTACATTCCCACATGACACCATGCGCACAATCTGCCTGCACTCCCGCTGATAGCAGAGTATTGTCACTGCACTGCTGTACAATACTCACGTCCGTGCTCGGTATCGCAGTAGCTGTCGTGTTGCTCGAAGTCGATCGTTCGCAGAGTAAACCCCTCTGTATCTTGTACACATCACGGCACGAAGCATTTATAAGACCGACTCGTGAATCGAGTTACTACTCCTAACGGCATCTTACATGTCTTGTCATCAACGGTACGTATGTACCCATCGGTGCTAGCGCAAGCAGCTTAACGAAAGTGAAGACTCTGGTGCGAGATGAGGTCAAGAGTGGCGGGCGCTCTATGATACCACGACCGAAGAAAAGATTGCACGACAGGATTTGTGGCCGCGTGCAGAAGAGCCCAGTAGAATACGCGTGCACCCCCCCCTCACCAGAATCGCTTGCGATTTGCAACCTCATGACAAGCGTTCTGCGTAAAGGTGTTGCTTCTTGATGTGATATGCATATGACTCGTGGTTTCTCGAGCATTATCACGGAAAGCACGTCTTCTCGCTTCTCAACCTCTTCTCGCAAGAAACGAGCAGGCAGCCAAATGCTGTTTGCCGTACAGCGATCGGTACTATAGCGCTATACTTTGCACAGGGCGGTCTGGATGTGGCAAACGCTTTGCGTGCAAAAGGCCTGGATTGAAACGTGATGCTCGTCCATTGCAGCACTGGCTGTTCGAGACGTCGCCAAGTGACTTGACTCGACGCATGCTGGATCCTATCTTTCAATGTGCTGACGCATAGACGGACGGTATGGATAGAAATGACAAGTGATAGTGGGTCACACTCATGTTCCAAGCAAGTTGCATCAGACGGCATCATTCGACGAACACTGGAACCCTTTTGTATTAACAATGTGTCCAACAAGGGCGACCGCTACAACCCAAAATTCGACCACTACAGACCAAATGACGACCACTACAGACCAAATGACGACCACTACAGACCAATGACGATGACAGCTACAGACCAATGTGCAGCCATACCGTCAAGACTACAGCTACAGCTTTATGCGACTTCAGATACGCTCCTCTTCCCCTTTTCGCGGCCTTTGTATCTTTGCACAAGATGGTGCTCGCACAAACACCCACCCCACTTCATCGCATTCACGCCACTGTGCAGATCACGTGTGGCATGAACGTACGTTCGCCAAATCTTCCGTGGCAGTCTCCTGCAAACCGCAATGCCGTCTCGTTTCATGTAGAAAGTCGTCACGCATTGCAGCGACTGTCCTTTCCACTGGCATGAGCAGTCTGCATGCAGAGAGAGTCAGTTGTCTCGCTCAAGCGTCGCACCAGTCAACGCGTAAACGCAGCTTCTGATGTCTGTCCTTACAAAAGGCAGACTATTCGAACTCATAGCTGACATGGCCTCGCTCCTCTGTACTTCTGCTGTTCCTTGTTGCCTCATGCGCTCTCGGTGCGACCGCTACCTCCAACTGAAGTGCTCATATTGCCATTTGGCAAACCTGATCGTTCTCGTCGTGCATTGCGCGTCGTCAGTGCATCTCTCGTACCCATCTCGTCAAAGGAATCACCGGAATGTTCTCTGTGCATCCACCTTCGGCGACCATTTCATCCAATCGACGTGCTTCCAGCCCCGCCATTGGCTAAAACCCATCACGTCTCTTCCTGAAGACACACCCACACCCACACTGTTCCCAATTATCAGGCGCACCAACACACTCGCGTCATGACCGCCGCCTCGTTCCGGTGCCTACCGCAGCCGCTGCAGCTCGCAATCGCTGCCGCTGCCTCTCGTCGTCGTCGGCCGCCGTCTCCACTCGTCTGTCCGTATGAGGACCTGCGCTGCTCGATCTGCTTCGACATCCTGTGCTTCCCCGTTACGCTGCCCTGCGGGTACGTACACTGATCGATAGGTGGTGGGACTTGCACAGAGCTTTTGCAGTCATTTGTTGATAACACTCACTCGTCTGATCATCTGCTTACCTCTGTTTGATTGTGTGATTGTAGACACAACTTTGATCGCGGCTGTATCTTGACAGCATGGGCACATGGCTCGACTTTGCTGTCGCCGTCCCGTCGAGCTCCTGGCCTGCCGCAGCGCGCCCACTTGTGTCCACTGTGTCGACAACAAGCTGGCATTCATTCAGCAGAAGCGTTGCAGGTGAATTTGCTGCTCAAGGCGCTCATTGCGTCGTTGTATCCTGCCGAGACCCAGATGGCAACTATTCCGGCCAAACAACAGGGTCCGCGCGTGACGCTGCTGCCACCGCTGGCTCCGCGCACAAATGGAGGCAGTGCACTCACGACCAACACGGCAGCTTCGGCGTTCCGTCGACGGCCAAGTCTCCGCACGTTTTCGTCCTTCATTTACGTGTGTGCAGCGTCAGTCACTGACCCGCCCGGCTTTGTCCTCGCAGTGTTGCTGCTACTGATACTTGTGGCGACAGCTTGCAGTCCCCAACCGGCAAGTGCACCGCCAGCGGCCTCTGCGATGATCATGTTTGACACGATGGATCGCGTGTGTAACGGACTGTCGTTCGTTATCCACCGGATCTCGATGCAAATGGATCAATTGGATCAGGTCTCGCCGTGGATCCGCCTGCTCTCGTACGTGCTCTAGGTGTGTGTGTGTGTGCTTATCTTGCTTGTTGGTCCAAGTTACGTCGGGAAGTCGCCTCTACAGGTCGAGTCGTTCCAACAGCCCGTGTATATTTATGTCAGCTCAGCCAACGTTATCAGAAAAATGCGAGCACGCCAGGACATGGCAGCACTTGTACAAATACGGAGAGATAGTTTGCTTTGCTTGTCAGGGGGTCAGAGACACATTGTCACGCAGTGGAGGCATCACAAGCAGGCATTCTCTGCCTTGCATTTATAAAGCTTGGTTAGTTGGGCACGTCAGCGCACTGATCTCCGTTAATAACACGACGAGACCGACGTTCGACTTGGTCTCAAGAAAAGTATCGGCCTGCATGAAGAATGCTTGGAGAGGCCAGTTGTCGACTGCGTATTGGATTGAGCAAAAGAAATGCTAGATAGATTTCGATGCGATAGGGCCACGCAAACGATACGTGACAGACATTCCGGCACAAAACTTGGAGGCAGCGGCTCGTGCAATGCTTCGAGTAGAGTGTGTCAGCTTCTGCTTGCATCAAATAATACGCACGTATCGCAGTTGCGGCCAGAAATAAGTCGATTGACAGTTCTAGGGACACTAAAACAAGCCGAGCAACTACGAGCTGACTTGCTGCTGGCGCGCATAGTTCTGGATGGTTTCCGTCATGCCACTTGCGAATGAAACGAAATCTGGTAGTAGGAATGCGGCGGTAATGCTATTCGCAATTCAGCTCGAGGTAAGCATCCGACCATATCACACTGTGTTACAAGAAACAGCGTCCGATCCGCCACCGACGGCATCCAACTTTCGAGAGGCCTCGTAGCGCCTTGGTTTTGGACAAACTGAACGCCGCGAGTACGCATGTGCTTCAGATGATGCTGCAAAAAGCGTTTGTAATCGTTTATCACCTGGAAACGCCTTGGCAATAAACCTATCGCGACATATTCTGTGCGCACATGCATCTTTATCACTGTAATGGCAGCAGCAAGTCCAGCGTGTTATATCGAATGCATCAATGTTTACCCTTTCACTCACAAAGACTTTGGCTATCGGCTCGATCAGTGGTAAATCCGAAAGCTGAAGTAGCTCGCGCACGGGTCTCACCTTTATAAGCAGTAGATACAACTTCAACTGATCAAGTCCTGCAAGATATAAACTTACGAATAGCACGGTTCTGTGAGACCAAATTGTGCGCTTGTTCGGAAGTCATTCATCCGTGCAAGCTGGTTGCAGTGACAGAGAAAGCTACATCCGTGTGACGTTAAGTCGACCTCCGATTTATTCGTGGCACTGAATGTCTCCTCATCGCAGCAGCCGCCGTTGCGAGTTATACTTTAGCTCTGCCTTTGCAATTTGGCCCGCTTGCAGCGAGTTGTCGAGACGTTGGTGTAGCGAGTTGCCAAGACTATGTCTACTTACGCTATTGCATCCAGATTAACGCGGCAGTAGACAATACGCAAAAGCCCAACACACGTTTAAGATGTGTTGACAAGTGAACACACAAAGGTGTCATTCCGCGAAGCCTTTTTGTACAATGCCGAAAGAAAAGAAAGCGTCGAATTGCCGGCCATGCGAGCTGAGGGTATACTTCCAACAATTCTTGCTGCACGGATAACTTACAAATAGCACGAGATACAGAAGACCTGGTCCAATGTAAGCGTCTCATTTGTGCCAGTATCGATTCTCGCAGCTACCCATCAACGTTTTTACCGCGGCGCTATATTGTATGTTTGCCCCTGTTTTCAATCTACATCCCTCAATTATTCTCACTTTGGGACTCGTCCGACTGACTTTTACAGCACCAGCTGTCATGTCACTATCGAGAACAATGCCGCCGCCGGTAGCGCCACTGACTGACCTGCAAAACAGCATCCACCAATGTCGAGCGGCATGCTCGAGCTGGTCGCTCGGCGCTGCAAATACTACGCGTTCATCAACGCATTCATCTGCAGCATTGGTCTCTTCACTTACACCTCATTGTTGCTAGTGCATCGCAGCAGCGACTCAACTGCAATGCACGTGCAGTTGCTTCTGATCTACAGCGTGAGTTTGCTGCGTATCGTGGCGATGGTCAAGTGGTTCGAGTGGATTGCGACCAAGAAGCCTCAGATTCAAGGCAAGAAGCGGATGCAGCTCACGAACGAGCAGATCAGATCCGTCTACTTCAGCATCTTGCGGGTCGTGGTGCCCACCGAGTGCGCGTCGTTCTGGTTTGCAAAGCAGACTGCTCGATCCATACAAGGCAGTCTGGACTGGCAGACGTTTCTGGTCGAGTTCATCGTGTTTGTCCCCAAATCGCTGCTCTTTGAGATCATCTTTGACTTCTTCCACTTTGTGGTTCACTGGACGTGCCACCGCGTTCCGTGGCTGTACAAGAACGTCCACAAGCGGCACCACGTGCATCTTCACCCGTGCCCGCTGTCGACGTATGCGCAAGACGGCATGGATTTGGCTCTCACCAATGTGATACCGTTCTGCCTTGCGTGGAGTCTTGGCTTTCCGCTCTCCGATCTTCAGTTGCACCTGCTGCTTGCGTACAAGACGTACGTGGAAGTCGCAGGTCACTCGGGTTTGGACATCAAGGGCGTGTCGTTCCCTCAAATGCCGCTGCTTCATAACGTGACTGGCATTTGTTTGCGAGTGCATGATCACGACCTCCACCACACTCGTCAGCGCTACAACTTTGCCAAGCGGTTTTCGCTTTGGGACAAAGTCTTTCACACGTTCCGTGAGGCCGATACAATAACATCGTGACGGCAATATACAATATCAGTAGTGTCAGATCGAGAAGGCAAAGAGATCGTATACAATTTTGGAAACGAAAGCTTCACTTTTGAACTGTAGAGTTGTCACCACTACAATGACTTCGTATTGATACTCGGAGTGCGACAAACATTGTTTTGCCACGCCATCATAGACTGTTGTACAAGAGGCATCGCGTCAACGGAGCCCCGAATTTGATGCTTGTTAGAATATCCTCTTCTGCCGTGCATTACAGTGCCTGAACCTCGACAAACAACAATAACTCGTCGTTCACCTCCCACAATGGCTACGTATCCTCGCTGTTTCCTCAAATGACATTGTAAACGGCTGTTGTTTCTAGTGTCAACCGAAAGCATCTGTCATGACGGCATCCCTCATCAGTCCGGATTTCTGGTTTAAAAAAGTCACCTATGAAACATAGCTACAATAATATTACGAGCTGCCGAAAAAGTCGTGACGTCGGCAACTGTTGTAGGTAGATATTTAAAGATCGTCCGCGTAATGAGATTGCATGGTGTTATGTCCAGATTCCCCTGTGCCGATAAGCACGATCGAGCTCTCGCTGTGATGACATGCAATCTAGTTCGAGATTCACATTCTTGATCGACACGCGTCAGGGATGACCAGTACATGACATTCAGGAGCTGTACATGTCGATGCGCAGATCATCTTAGCGGGTGTTCGTCAATAATGTCCTCGTTTTTTTCAATTAGCACTTGGTAGCAATATATGCCAATTGTCGTTGACTGCTTAGCCATATTCGATGAGTCATCCAGTCAATAATGATAGACGGTCGCAATAAATGGTGAGCAGGTAGTCAACGTTCCTGTTTGTGCTTAGGCATACTAAAACCAGCTACGCAGCACATTACGCAAAGGATATAAAGTGGACAAATATAGCACAGAGTTCTTGATCCAACTAAGCTTTCTAGTTGAGTTGACTAGCTGATATCCGCACGTATCATGGGTTGTAGAAGTTCATTGCACGTGTGTATAGTAACATTTGTGAAGATTGCTACTTTGCTCAGTATGAGCGACACATTTCCTCTTGTGCCTACTAACATACCGTGATCCGTCTAACGATCACGGATCCTTTCATTTTGAACAAATCAAAATATAGGAGGCTGCATACGAACGCATAAGATCGTCGGTCGGTCATTCGGCGCGGCCATGTTGATCATTTTTGTTAACAGAAAAAACGAAAGGAGGTCAAACGAATTCATCGAAACTTCACGCGTCAAGTGGGTAGCCACATTTCAGCATCTAGGTGTTTCACGGCAAGCGACGGCAATATTACGGCAAAGGCGAAGCTTGGAACGCCCTGAAAGAACGAGACGTGTCAAAGTCTGGGATTGTAGATGTAAAATTCGCAACAAAAAGGCTTTTGGGACTTGTAAAGCATGTTGTGCCGACACCAACAAATTCTGTAGCGCGTTGCGAAAAGCTTAAGGCTCGAGAGAATATCCAGCGTTTTACGTAGGATAATTATGTCGAACAAACTTAACCTCAGCACACACGATATCTCACTAGCTGTGTCGTGATCATGACGAATATTGACCAAACATAGGTTACTTTACAAACACAACGATTCTTGTGGTCGGATTTACCATTGAAATTCGTTCTACATATTTTATGGGACGCTTTCCGAGAAACCCGTGTGACAGAGAGTAGAACGGCTCTATTCTTGGACATAATAAGTCATCTCGGCATCGTGTTTCCACCCACAAGACATATATAGGGGATTCGGATCCTACAAAATAACTTACGTCTTCACATATTCTTTTCTCCTTGTCTGAAGTAGTCGCACGGATGCATGGTCTGTCGTGACAATCAGTCGATAAGCGTAATGTCACGCCTGTAGATTCTCGTGCCATTAAAACAATGCTTACTCATACGCTATCAGGATAAGTAACGTAAAAATCAAATTTGTAGCAAAAGTGCGACAGCATTCTGATGTGTACCAGAAGGGCCAGTGCCAGTAGGTCGGATCGCCCTGCGGTCAACATACACCAAGAAGGCTAGCAGATAGCTCACCTTTTGTTGCATTCGTAAGGATGTCAATATGTTTGACGCGTCGATTGATATGCGAGATAATTCTGATCTAGAAAATTATAATAGATAGCGGTAATGTCAGCCCTTCCCCTTGTCTACTATGGGTGTACAACGACTCTGATCTTTATTATCAACTAGCGAATATCAGGCTCAAGTATTTTAAGCGCGACATCATACTTACGGGGAAGA